AAGCACAATGTTGCGGTGGGAGACTCAAGCACCGCTGGAGCGAACCCCCCAAGTCCGCCCCTCAAGGCTCACTTGGGAAGGCTCAGCCCCCCGATGCAGGGAGGAGGTACAGTCCCCCCGGCAACGGCGCAGCACTTGAGCCAAAATGGCTACCTCTCTCTCTCTCTCTTGGGCCCAAGGGGAGCTGCTTTTCGAGCCGATGCCTTGAGCCAAAATGGCTACTTTCTTTCTTTCTGCCGGGCGTAGGGGTCCGTTGTCGGGACCCTCAGGCCATGGGCCCGCCCGACCACCCCTTTTACTATTGAGTGGCCGGCTTTGGGGTCAACACTGACCGAGGCATTAGAAAACAAAGTATGCCCCAAGCGGTTGTGCGCAAATGGCTACTCTCTCTCTCTCTCTCTCTCAGCTGCACCAACTACAGCTGACCATCAGTGGCCTGTCTGATTCCTCCAGTCTTCCCATCTCCTCCTGCGCAGGTTCCCAGGACTTTGGAAATGCTATCAAACCCATGATCGGAAAAGTACCTGCACGCTCTTCAATGTCGACGTGTAGGACAATGGAACGGGTCTTTGTATGACGTTGTTGGGATGAAACCTGGGCTAGCATCAAATGCTGCTTGCAGCAACACATCTTCTCTGTGAAAACGTATGACAACTGTAGGAACCCAGCTGATGGTGGGCTTCACCACGGAAGAACGGGTACTGCATGGAGTCGTACACATAGACGACGTATTCGCCTGGAGGAAGAATGGCCCTTTCGAGATTTATCGGCTTCTCCTGTTGCCAACTAGCAAGTTGCTCCGGCGTTCGTGCAGCCATCAGGCTGCATTGCCATCATTCCCATTGCCACAGTCTTCAACTGGGAACTAGAATGCAGCGCGACACCCTCGGATGAGATTTGGAGCGATGCAACGCCTAGCAGCTTGCAGTGCGACAATAGCTGAATTATAGCCTCTGCGGGGAGTTGATGTGAGGGTCATTGTGAATACTCGTCAGCTTATCCTCGACAGCTGAATCATCCCGCCTTCAGAGTCACCCACTGCTCCTCGAAGAAGCGGCATTCCATATGTGTTGGCTTCCTGGCTTCCGGATGCACATGAAGCTTCGTCAGAAAACCGTCCATGACTCCTCAAACAAGGGCCATAGTTCGGAGTTGTCCATCCCGCCGGGTAGTCCAATCACCTGTCATTTCGCTGGGTCAGGCTCTAGCAGGCTCTTCACACATCATCCCAGGAGAGAGAGATTCAATGCGTACATGCATGTAGCCAGTGCTTGCTGTTCGCACGTCAAGCAACTTGAAGTTGCCACCACATGGTGCATGAATGTGTAGTGCTGTGGATGATCAGTGGGCAGTCAACGGCTGGCGCTGCGTCTATACCCTGCTTTCACCTGCAAGCATTAACAAAAAAAACAGAATGTTGCAGCAAGCATTTGCTCCTCTTTCAGACGCTGGTGATGTCTTTTCTGCGACAGAAAGTAGTCTATATGGTCTGCAAACAGGGGAGCAGCTGCGTGTCGCAAGTAGCAGATCAAACCAGTTCATACGTCTGGTGAAACGCACTCTGCTGGATACGGACTATTTCCGCAATGGTGCCATCGTTGAGGCTACGGCCGCTTGCCAGATAATCACCGGCTTCCACGCACATTGGCGATCCCCATGATGCTTCGAAATGGCCATCTGGGAACAGCTTTAAAAGGTCCTGGTCTACTTGGATGGCAACCACTCGTCTGGTAGGAGCATAGGACTGAAAACCCTTTGCTCGAAGTTCCTCTGCATCCGGATGTGTCTCGATCTGCAAAGGACTGCTTGCATCATAAACATCGCGAAAATCTGCTGCCTTCAAGATGTACTCTTCCTTAAAGGATGTGTCAGCACGTACAACCATGTCACCCTCGCTCGCCACATTTTCTGTTTCGGTCTTCCCATCCAGGATTGTTCGAATCTTCTCACCAGGGATGGCTGGGCGCAGAAAAGCACGCTTCACCTTCTTGTAGGCTCGTCCGCTCTGAAGCAACAAGGGGCGCACCAATGTAAGCGTCTCACTTTGAGACAACATGGACCACTCTTGTGGAACGTACAGCGATTTTTCTCTGAGAGACTCTATGTGACATCTTTTGCAGCGAATTATACTACGCATGTGCTGATACGGATGCTGTTCTTGCAATCTGACTGCCTATGCATGGATCGACTGTCGATGCGGTTGCATTGCAACAGATCCTCCAAACTTCGGACAAGAGATTGCAGCGGCAGGGAAAGAAAAAGGGGGGAGTTTGAAAGAAGGATCCCACGTTCAAGACTCTCGGGATTGGTTGCAGCAAAGGAGCATTTCTGTACGAAGCTCCCACATCTTGAGGATCTAGCCGCTGCCTCGGAACGGATGTGCTCCCGTGTGGCAGCTCAACGAGACGGCATTCGCACTCTGAACTCGCTCTTGTATCTGAGGCCTTTCTGTGTCTTGGCAATGCTATCAAGGCATCTAAGAATCTAAGGTTTCCTGACCTTCTTCTCCATTATCCTTGATGACATGGGCCAATGCTCTCGTAATGGTGCTTCACGAAATTTACAAGGCAGTAGCACGACCAGCCGGGAATAAAAGCTCTACGAGATCCGCATCTGGAATCGACGACCCTTTGAGGGTTCTTTCATAGAGAGGAACCTCCACGCGCCTGCTTACAAAAACTATGTGCTGTGTGAAACGTACTGTCTTTTCACTCCTTGCCACTGCCACAATCGCTGAGAAATCAGGGTTGATCTCTGCCGTCAGACAAAGAAGAAGAAGAAGAACGAGAGAGGCAGAGAGAGAGAGAGAGGCCCCGAGAGACGGTTCCTTGGCATAACTTACAAGCTTAACAGATAAACCTCATGCAGTTCCGAAGTAGAGAGCTTGGACAAAAGTGATCTTGCCTTCGACCATCTGGCAGCGATTGAAAGCCATGTTCGAAGTACATCTGCGCCAAAGCGGACACCTGTGAGTCGTAAGTCCCGCAAGATCATCTCAAGTATTTGTGCGATGGGGACAGCAAAAGCACAGGGGTGCCTGACTCCTTGCGACGGGCCCAGTGATCTCGTCCAGCATAATTGAAACTGCCTCTGCATGGCCTAACAAGTTGGCAAACCGTGCGACTTTTATTGGCTTTCACCACACAATAGCACCCTGAAGCGCCTAGTCGACTGTAGTCCGTGGCCGGGAGACCACCATAGCAAACCGCACCACCGGCACTTTGGTAACCTCGCGACGGCCACTGGACGGAGAACTTCAAACACAAGTTCCCCATGCAAGCACATGCATAGCACCAGAGCTTGAATCACCACCGGGAAGCGGCCCCCGGCAAAACCAACGAGGCTTGTGATCTGGCTCATGTTCCGGCCCCGAAAAGGACCAGCGGCATCTTGCTCCACCAAGAATGCATCATACTGGGTGTGCCAGAAGCAACCATTACCTCCGGCATCTCTGCACAAGAACCGCATAGAATTACTTAAAACCTACCGACATGCTGATCACTCACAATCATATTTAATTCCAAACAAACTGTTTCCTGCCCAACCCTGTGTTCTTCGAAGTCTGGTCTTTCAACATAGCGCGACCCAACCCGAGAATCACTTCACATGTCGCAGGGCAGTGGAAAGAGCATGTTCAAAACTACGACCACTACAGATACGGCATCAGCCTCTCCCCCACGCCCGGGTAAGGCAGTATGGGCTGAATTTAATCATGGCCATCATCATGCTGGCCGGGATGCTGTCTTGAATTTTGCTTCGGCAGTGGGTGTCAGCTCTTGCGAAGGTTTGTCTCAAAACAGCCCGACTGGTCCAAGGGAGCATTGAGGCCAATCGAGCTGTCTTCGCAATCATACACCCCGACTCCGACACTGTGGCTGGTCGAGAAGGCGTTCGTAAAGGATTTGTGTCAGGCCAAGGATCGAGAAGCTTGACAGAATTATACCACCGTCCTCACCAATCATCCTACCAGCACCCCGGACGACATCTGCATGTTCATTGAAGAGCTGCAGGGAACAAAATCCCGAGGCTCATGTCAAGCACCAACGCAAAAACAAAAACAAGGAAAGGGGAGGACGAGAAACAGTTGGTGACAGAGGATCCCAGATCGCGCCGTCCCACGACCCGCACAGTCCAACTATCCATCCTCGAGCCTGACAACCGAGCCCAAACCACTTTCTGGGCTTAGGGATCAGGAATGATCAGGATGAAGAGCAGCGATCAGCAGACGCTCGGCAGGATAACTACACCTACGAAAATAGCACTGGAGCATGAAAGGGAAAGCCCGCAGAGAACAACGGGGGCGCCGTCCACCAAGAACCGATGATCTGCGCATGCCCGACCACTGTGCCAACCCGTGCCCGACACCCGCAAGCATGTGCGAGGGGTAGGGCAAGGACAGGGTAGCCACGCTTTTCAGGGCTTCTAGCTCACCGACGAACGCAGCCTTCAAGAAGGAGTTTAAAAACGTATTGCACTTTAAGTTTAGAGATTCGGGGTTTGGACTGAGGCTCGGGCTTGCGTCGTTGGGGTCGTGGGCCATGCTGGGCCGATTGGGGAGTCGCCCGGCCCGAAATAAGCTACGAGAACCCGAAGAGCCGCATTTCTGGCAACGGGCGACAGACGGCTGATTGAAAACTTGAGTAAACTGCAAGAATCCAAGAATTCTCCAGACTCCGGGACGGTTCTTGCGTTCCTGGCAGAGTCGGACTGACGCAGAGGATGACCAAACACTGCCACAGCGCACATACACAGTCAAAAGCTGTTCAACAAAAGGCCGATGAAGACAATAAACACTAAGATATTAAAAATATACGTTTGCGACGAAACATGACGCAATCATAGTTTGATAAGGTTTTATGACTTTGACATTCCGAGATACTTTGGAGTCTCAAGCCCTGCGGTTCTGGGTCGATGCAAATGGGCGCTACACTGCTGTATCCTCTGCAGTGGCAAGCTCACTAGTCACGAGTGTTCAAGTGATACCCGAATGCTCTGCGAGATGAATGAGGACACAATCGATACCATATACAATCGTGACTGTCCTATCTCTTTGACTTTGACTTGTCAGCAGCATGCTTCTGCGTGCACATGTCTGCTGCGGCCCTGTCCCTGCTCGCCAATCTATGGTGCAAACTTGGGGATGCGTTATGCCAAGGCACCCAGGTACACAGACAAAGCCGGATCGTTGCGTCGAAAGCTTGGTGCCTCCACGATCTCTACCTGAACCAACAGCGGCGAGATTGCGTGCTCAGCTGCTTGGTGTATGTGCCATGTGGTGCCGCGAACATGCCAGCAAGTGACCGAAAATGGCGGAGGCGAAATAAAACACCATAGCAATCCAAGGACACCGACGAGCACCAAAGCCAATGCTGAGCAAGCTCCGGCCACTCTTTGGCAAGGTGGGCGGGCCTTCATTCAAGGACTTACGGCTCCTAAGGGGCATGGCATGGCACAGTGGAGGCCTCGGCCCGTTTTCGCAGAAGCGAACGTGCACCAGCAGCCTGGACGGCAAAGCAAGCCATGGTAAGCCAAAAACGAAGGTTCAGATCGGCAGATGCTCTCATGAGCCGAGCTTCTCCGCAAGCAAGACCGACGAGCGCAGCAAAACCACTGAGAAGAATGGTTTGCAACGCCATGGCATCCGTCGGTTTAGAGTTTTGCCTATGTACCGAACCGCGTCAAGAATAACCAGGTTATTCGTTTGGTTTTTGCCATGTGCCATGCCTGAACTTCGTACATGAGCAGTCTGTCTGTGTTGCTCTCTGCAAAGACAGTGACGGCGTCATTCCTTGAGCTGTATGGGGATCGCAGGATCTCCGTATGTGACAGCGCGGCAATTGGGACTTCAGCGAGTATGTCGTGCCTTTGGAAAGACTCGCGATCGCCATCATCGAGGCCAGCAGCGCAACTGACAGGAAACCATGCTGCAGAGACGACAGCATCCTCGACAGATAACGAGGGAAACCAACTTATCCATCGACAATGCTGGTGTGGCTTCATCCCATTTCATCCCCGGCCTCAAGCAGAGACAGTACTCCACACGGGCTGTCTCGGAACAGTAACTGCAATGCCGACAGCGCACTCTCTGCCTCGGCAAGCCGAGTGCAGCGCAGACCGTAAACTCTGCTGCTGTCTGTGTATGCACTTTGCACTCCTTCTGAGGTCGGTACCCTAGATCCATCCCAAAAACGTGACCTAGGAGGCTGCTCCTCTCGAGAGACTCCTGCAGACATCGAAGAGCGCCACCGTCTAAACCGTGACGCGAAGGCCGAAGCCAAGCCTGCGCAGAATAGTCCTTTGCAGACTGTGTTGCCACGTCTGTGCTACCATCACCGACGGCGATGCAGGCCTCCAGTATCCTGCGTCGTGTCACATGAACCCGGCAGACATGCTCTGTCTTGGCTTCACGCGGTCAACCTGTGTATGGGAAGATGAAATCTTCGCAGCTGCCAGTGCAAACTTAACGAGAAATGAAACCCTGCTTACACGGCTGCTCGTAACTAAGTACACTAGTTGCTACATGTCGCTACACTACTTTACCAGGCAGGCAGGAGCAAGCAGATCCACCTGGACACGATGAACATGAACGCCTCATGGGCATCTGCCTGCGAACTGTAACTGTCACAAAGCTGATTTTCACCACAATACATGACAGCCTGCAAAGTAAACGCATCAGCAACTCAGATTTTCACCGGCTTTCAACATGCCAACCAGGACGACTGAGGGTGCCTGACGGCCGCGCACGAACTCTTTGTTCGTTGTAATCAGCCTGGCGAGGCGCCAAACTCCGGAGAAAAGCGTGGCCACGCTTTGACCCTGCCTTTCGCCGTCCCTTGGGGGCCCTAGATCGTTTCTTTCAACAAACTCTCTGCAAACCCGACGCTCGCCTCGGGCAAACTTCTAGGAGCGCTTTAGTTTCAAGATCTGAAGGGTTTAGTAAGACTGATTAATGAGCATAGATTTTAAATTTCAGGACAGCACTAAGCGTAACAACAGTTCAACACCATAGACCTCACGTTCGGAAAACACAGCGGTTCGATAGCACCAAATTTTCCGGAAGGAATGCCTTCGGAAAATCTGGTGCTATCGACGGCTGCCTTCAGGTTTGGATAACGCAGCGGTCCGATAGCACCAAATTTTCTGGAAGGAAAACCCTTCGCAAAATTTGGTGCTGTCGAACCGCTGTCTTCGGGTTCGGATAACGCGCGGTTCAATAGCACCAAGTTTTCTGAAGGAAACCTTTCGCAACTTTGGTAAAACCGTGTCTTGCCGCAACAACGAAATTTCAATGTGTTTGTAAACCCTTGTACTCCTCTAACAACAAAACTGCGAAGCTTGTGTAAACCCTTGTCCTCCTCCAACAACAAAACTGCAAGGTTCTGTTTAAACCCGTGTCCTCCAACAACGAAACTGCAAGGTTGTTTGTAGGCCTTTCTCCTCCTCTTGGTATAAGTTCTTCCCCAATGGACAAAAATTGACACTTTACCGAGGACAGTCCACAAATTCCTGATCTGTAGGGTGGTGATGTTTCGAAGTACAACTCTTTGAACAAGCTGCAGTAGCACAACAAAACATGCCAATGGCTGCTCTGCGATGTTGGAGACACCGCAACTCGAAGGGTGAACCTCAATGCATGTCAAGCTTTGCAAGTCACGTGCACATTGGGGAAGGTGTCATCACATATGACAACAGCTTTAATGAGGGCGTCGCTTCATGCATGTCGTGGATCAGCTGCTGCAGTTGTGCCAGCCACTGTCGTGCGTCCTGGATCACTGAAGTGCTGCACACTTGCACCACAGACCCTACGGCCAAGGGCTTGCTGGCCTCCGTATATGTGCTGCATCACTGAACTGTTGATCTGTTGATGTATCTGACTTTTGTCGTCATTTGTCTGTTTCCCATGGCGCGAACTGTGGCGTGTCTTGCGACATTCTGTCGAGCAGGTGCATGAAACATGAACCACCAGGCATGCTATGTCACTGCCACGTTCCACCGGTCAAACCCATCGTTGCTCCTGCTTTCGGAGGCACTGTGACGGCACTTCTTGCACCAACCTCGACAAGCAACAACAAGAAATAATTTCCAGGGCAGGAACGCGATCGGGCTCAGTAGCTGGAGTTTGGAAAGTCATGCACATTGACGACATCTGAAACGCGTGAAATGGCATGCGAAGCTTTCTCAATGATTTGGAATGAACACTCTGGAGACGAGCAGGAGCAATCTGAGCTCACTGCTGGCATAGCAATTTCGTATGTACAAGGCATTGCAGGATCGCGTTGAGGTAACAAGTGTTCCCCTGCCGCTGCTCCGAACGGCGGGTTCTTCCAAAAGCAAAATGAAACAACGCTGAAAGCAGCTTCCCCGCGTGTCTCGGCGGCCTGGTTCCGCAACCCCGTCACAGGCGGAGGCAAGGCTGCCTGTTGCCTCGGCTGCTTTCTCTAACTTGAACCTTGTTCGTGGCGTGAAGCTTGTAGCCAGGGAGCAACCAGCTGCCATTTTGCAGCTGCTGCCTCAGCTGCTGTCAGCACCGCTCGCAGGACGGCATTACCACCTCTTTCCAGTCATGTGGCCGAAAATGACTCCCGCACAGAAGCCACTTAACCTGCACGAACCACCAGGGCTTGACGCATCTGCACGAGCTCAATCACTTTCAAGGAAATACTCATCGCGAAGCTGCAATTATGATACAATATGATGCATTTGAAAACACTTTCATCTTGGTCATAACATGATGCAGCACGGTTCTAGCCTAGCTTCCCAACATACGTACACACATGCAACAACACTACAATACAACACATTACGATAAAATACAAAACAACACAATACAATACAATACAATACAATACAATACAATACCATACAATACAACATGACACAACATTGTACACAATACACTGTTATTTTGCTGTTGCTGCTTTTTCGCTGTTGCCGCGGGGGGTGTTTTTGTTGTTGCTGCAAGGGAGTGTTTTTTTTGCCGTTGCTGCGGAGGGGTATTTTTTTGCTGTTGTTGCGGGGGGTATTTCTGTTTTGTTGCTGCGGGGGAGGTGTTTTGTTGCTGTTGCTGCGGGGGCGGTGTTTGTTCTGTTGCTGCGGGGGTGTTTTTTCACAACAACACAAAAGCAGCAACAGCAAAAAACACCCGTTCCCAGTACAATACATACAGCAAAATACAACTATATACAATACAGAACACAACATAACAAAACTAACACAACATAACATAGCATGCGTGTGCAAAGGGGATTGGCTCGATACTTTGGATCGGTAACAAACAACCTGAGTCGTAAGCTTTCAGCTAATTGCAAATCATTGAGCGTGAACTCAATCTTGAGTCACAAAGTTGCGCTTGCGCAGCATTGAAAAGGGATTGAGCGATCTGCAATGCAGTATTGCATCGGTCTGCACAGCAGTTCCGTTACAGCCGGCGTCACAAACTGTGCCGAGCATATGGACTTGGCAATTTGAAGCAGGTCATCGCTGTGTACTATTGTACCAGTCACGAACTTGCTCGCGTTCAGGTTCGCGGTCTCCCTGAGAGCTGCCACCCTTGCCTTTGTTAATCCATCTGTCGGCATTGCCTCGTCCAGGTGGCGGACCTTTGGGCTCAGACTCTCGCTTCTTCTTCTTCAGGTGTCAGTGGTAGATCACGAACTGATTGCTGACCTGGAACCATATAGTGCGCCTCGGCGCGTTGGGATTGATACGCTGCTTTTGACAATTTGTCGATGTACCTCGCGGGCAGCTGGATGCCGTAGTTCATGAGCACCTCAATGGTCGTTGCCGTTGGGCTACCATGATTATCCCAACTGGGTCGAAACTCACTTTGAGGTCCAGGTGGTTCCCGCAAGATTGCATAGCGTCTTTTTCCGGTCAGTTTGGCAATAAGTTCCGACAGAATTGCATGGCAACTGTGATGCATCTCTGTTGCGGACTGCTTCCTGCCGACGAGGTAGGTCGAGGGGTTGAACGCTTCTCGGGAGCAACCCATTTGTTGAGCACCGCGCATCAACTTCGAGATGAGTTCATTGACTCGGAATCTGCGCAGGAGGTAAGTCCTTTCAAGGTCCCGCCGATCACCAACATTTCTTGCGAATGTGAGGACCTGCTCGTCAGTGACATCTCTGCTAATTTTTGTCTGTTCATCGACTTGATGAAGTGTAAGCCACGTCCCAAAGACGTCGTAGCGATCGCCTTGACGGAATGGTTGACTCATCTGCTCGTATGGCAAAGAAATCCATGTCAAGGTGTTCAGGACATGTAAATGCCATGTACGATGATGTAGCTCATGTACGTGAACGCGACTGACTTTGCGTCAATGCACCTTGCAGTTTGTGCTTTTGGATAATAAGGCCTTTGCATGGCTACCCGAGCACGAGTGAGGTCGGCGTCGGTGATCATGGTCTTCTCTTCCAGGAGTACTGGCCGCCGTTCGTTCCTCAACTTCCTCTGGATTCTCTTCCGGATCATCCTCGGCGAGATCATTGAGGAGTTATTCATCAGATTCGGCTTCGGTGGGCGCTGTTTCAACCTCCATCTCTGGTTCCACCGCTGTCATAGCATGAATCAATTTCATGATCCTCACGGAGGGCTGCGGTTGATGACATAGCCGCCGCGGCTGCCTCCATCGTCTGTGAAATGTCCTCGCTTGGATGTCCAAAAGAGTCTCCGGTTGCGGGGCAGGCGGTTGGTACCTTCCACAGGACACAAACTCAGAGAAGCAATTGGTGCATCGCGAAATACACGCAGGGACCAATGTCATACCAGCAGGGCAAAGACACATCTTCACTCCCGCGCCGTTCTCATCCTGACCGCGACGTTCCTTTCGAATGTCAACGCCAAGTCACTGGTGTCGTCAACGCGAACTCACGAAATTGAATGTAATGCAAGGCGTGACAGCATTGCTGAGCGTTCTTCAATGGAGTGGCAGGACTTTGAGTCGGACTTTGACATTGCCATAACGTTTCCTAAAGCCTATTACGACGACAACCGCTAGTGGTTCAGGATTGATGCAAAGTCCACAAGCGAGTTGAACTATGTCTCAGGCAGGGCGTTCTTTTGCCAATCGTGCGAGACTCAGAAGGATGCATCAGTGTTCCTTCGGGATGATACTTCGTTTGACAACAACAGGTATCCATCCAACTGCATTGGATATCATTGGATGCGCTTACAAGAGTGCACTCCGAAATTCCTCGCGGTCGGCACAAAACTACGCCGTGTTGACCCATGTCGAACAGTCTGCCTTACCCTTTGCCATCTTTGCTTATGACAAAACGTTTCAACTCATCAAACCACAAGACGAACTTTTGGAATATTTGAAGCTGCGCGCTCAGGTCGCCTACCAAGATTACGGTAAAAACAATATCCTCCTATGGTGGTTTAAGGGTATCACCAGACCGAGCAGTAGCTTACGCCGGTTGGGGCCAAGCAAAGCAGTTGCCCCACGGTTGCACGACGAAGATTGCAACTTGTGCTACATTGGCTACGATGACGCTGGCAACTCGGCATAATATACTGGATTCACGAAAAGAAGTTTCACCGATGTCCCGAAGGAAGAGATGTTGGGCGACGTGTTCGGGCTCGGGCTCGGCCCTCTTACATTGGCGATGAGACACCCAGAAAAGTTCCCGAATTGGAACAATCCCAAGACCCTGAACGCATGTATACGTGGTCTTGGACGGTAATTTTACCGATCTGCTTCGTCGGAGTCCCTCGAGCTGATTACCGCCCCTTATCCCAGGAAAGTTCCACTGCGAAAAGGAACGCCGACGTGGAACAATATTTCAGCAAACAAACGGAAGGTTTGCCCACGCGCTTCGAGGCAACCCCTCCGTTCCGGACCCTCCAACCTGATTCAGGGGTAGGTGAAAGCACTGGTGACGACGATGACAATCAAGGCGATGATTCGATGGGTGCGTCCATCGCTCCTCCAGAACCTCACGTTGAGCATCGTCCTCTGCTGGCTTCAGCAGCGCGCGATGCCATCCGAGCTTCGCTCAACGCAGCCAATTCCTTCGTTTTGCATCACCAACAATGTAAGGCGTGTTCCGAAGAAGAGATACTCGATCTCAATTGTAAATTCACTCTTGCTTTCTCACTCAACTTACTCGTGAGTCTGTCACACTCCCGCGCCACGTTCATACCTTCTGCTTGCGCTCTCTCTTCCAGCCGTACATAGCTAGTCGCGGCAGAGCTAAGGATTCGGCGATCTCATGATGTCCGAGTTGAGGAATTGGAACGACAACGTCACGTAGCTCATGCTGCCATGAAGCACATGAACCAAGTCCACCAAGGATCCAAGTCCGAATACGAGGTTGTCGTGCTGCGAATGGATGAGTCAAGTCGAGCTCAAGATCTGATCTTCCTGAGTCAGGTCCTCGATCTTGCGCCAACACTGCTTGACAATTCCCTACTATCTCTGCCTTGCTTCGCTGCGGTACTTCTGCAACTCGTGATGAGCACGTGCCACTTGCGATCTAAGGGAATCATTCAGCTGTTGAACGTCATTGGCGACATTCTCGCTAGGAAGAATAAGTTACAGGTGTGTTGTCGTCAATTTGAGCATCGTGTCACTGTCACCGTCTCGCATGCCGGGGCTTCAGGACGGACTCCGCACACCCGCGTCCAGCGTGCAATGGGACCTCGCGAAAGGCGTTGCTGATCGTCCCCCTCTGCCTCGCGCAACACCAGACACTCCACGTGACGCTGTAGTCGTTGTTGGCGATGCTCTTGCCTTTCGTACTGGTTTCGGCGGTGTAGGAGAGGAGGCCTTTGCTTTCTCTTCGTCAGTGGTGCCGTCAACGGACAGATTCACCGGCTCATCGGCAGTAGATTCTCCAGCTGCCAGTAACGCAATCTCACCACCGCCAAAGGTCACTGTCGTATTTGCACTTGATCCAGAAGTCATCTTGGGCGTCGTTTCCACAGACTCAATGTTTGTAGGCAGACCTGAGCCACAAATGCTATTGATGCAGATGTGCTTAAAGCTCTTACTGCGACACCTAATGAGTTGGACTGGGCACCGAGGTCCGTTCGACTCCGTTCGCATAGCATCGCATAACATAACATAACATAACATAACATAACATAACATAACATAACATAACATAACATAACATAACATAACATAACATAACATAACATAACATAACATAACATAGCTGTAATATTATCAGAAC